TTTCATGGCAATAGAAGCATTCAGCCTCTTTTGGGTCAGAAGAAGGAGTAATGAAACCTTTCTTGGTTCCACTTGAAGAAGAGCCATCAAGGGTCCGAGCCTTGGTACCCTTCGAAGATCTCTTTCTCTTCCTCCCTCGACTTTTCCCGATTGCCAAAACCGGAGTTGAGTTTGGAGTAGGAGTGATAGCAACCGACTTCCCCTTAAGACCTGTTTCTGCAGTCTTGAGAAGTCCCTGAAGTTTGCTGAGAGTGACCTCTTCCTTATTCATGTGATATGTCATGCGGAATTGATCATAGCACGATGGTAAGGAGCGCAAAATTATATCTATTGCTAGCTCCTCAGGGAGGTTCACATTAAGTTTCAGCAATCGATCCACATACCTTTGCATTTTCTGCATGTGGCTCGTGACGGAATCCCCGTCCTTCATCATGGTTGTTATCATGGAGCAGATGATTTCGTACCTCTCTTGTCGTGCACTTTGATGGTATCTTTCCATCAAATCTTGGTGCATTTCATAAGGGTAGAAATCCTCATAGGACTTTTGGAGTTCTGCTGTCATTGTGGCCATCATGATGCATGCTACTTTCGTAGCATCCCTTTCATGTGCCTGAAAGTCAGCGATCTCCTGAGGAGTTGCAGTGGTCTCATCAATCTCCTTAAGCTCCTTGTCAAGGACATATTCTTTGTCCTCGTAGCGGGTAATCATCCTGATGTTTCTGATCCATTCATTGAAGTTGGATCCATCAAAGGTGACTTTCCCACACAAACTCATAAGAGTAAAGGAGCCATTAGGATTCGAGCCAGAAGCATTATTTGAAGACATCTGAAAGAGGAGAACAAGTTTAGTATAGATTTAAGAGAGTCCTTAATAAAACACCCAAATGTAATATTAAGGCTAGGATCCAATCACAATATAATATAACTTAGAAGAGGTATGCCGTAATCTAAGCTATACCATATTTGAAAGGTAGGTGAATGACGATTCACCAATTTCCACCACGAAAACCGAAATATTAGATATTAGGTTTTTATTGGTTTTTAGAAATTCCTAGATTCTTTGAGATTCAATGAACTTTTCAAAGGCATGTTTCAATCTCGAGAGTGCCCTCCAAGTTTTGTGACTGGGATACCGAGGATCACAAAACGAGGTGTGAAGTAACCATGCAAATCACTTGGTACCCTTAAAGTTTATCACTCAATCGATGTGCCGGTAAACCACACACGCTCCACCGATACTATAATAAACCTTAAGTCACCCTTTACCTACCTTGTTAAGTCCAAGTTAGTGTGCCGGTTAACCACACACGCTCCACCAACGACTTAGACAAAGTGTAAAGTGTAATTTCATGGATTAGCACCTTATTCACATTTTCCTAAAGTAACTAAGATTGGGAATTTAATAAAACATTTAGTTACTTTATAATATTCATCATACTTTGAATGAGAGTTTATAAGTCCTTGTCTTACCCGTTCGGCTAACGACCCTCCACCAGTCAAGCAAGCGGTGGGTGAGAGTAGACACCCATTAAGTCACCATTTTATAGGCAACAACCTTATACCCACCTTATAGACCGGCTTCGTGAATGAGGCGTACTAGCGGTAAGACGACTTTATTCTTATACATATATATATAATTATTAAATCATCATAATATAAGTATAAGGGTTGAATTTTAACTTTTAAAATTCTAGGGGTTGGAACTAAAGTTTTAACTTAACTTTATTTGTTCCAAAACTTGAGGGCAAGTTTTGTAACTTTCAAAACTTTTCATTTCTTGTAACTTATGAGTTTAATAGAGTAATAAAATGAAGACTCTTCATTTTTCTAACTCTTGTGTTTGTTTTAATGGTTTTAATTCAAGTGTGACTCTTGGTTTTCCATAACTTGAGGACAAGTTATGGACTCCATTAAAACACATTATGATCAAGAATTAATCTACCACATAGGTTACAAATAATTCCTATGATCATCTAAAACATCATAAGAACAAGAACATGAATATGAACACATTCATAAATTACACTTAAAACTTTGTAATTTTGATAACTAGTTGTTGTAAATGAATTAGCAAAGACATTACACCACCAAAAACAAGTTTTCAATTACCAAAACAGTTTAGGGTAATGTTTCTAATTCATTTCCAGCAACTAAATCGAAATTCTGCAATCAGTCGACCCTACTCGCCGAGTGCATCAATTTACTCGCCGAGTTGGTTGAAGATACACGTGAACTCGCCGAGTCCCCCCTATAGACTCGACGAGTCCACTCGTACACAGCAAGATTTTCGACTTTTTTTTCAACTTTTAAGCACAAATAAAAAGCAAACAAGCCTAGGCTCTGATACCACTGATGGGTTTTGAGCATTCTAACACTTCCTAAGTGTACATGCAACCCTAATAACCTTGGATCTATGTTTGTCTAATTATCATGCAAAGTTGAATTCCAAGGTTATATTCCTATCTAGCATACATGGGGAACAATTTTAACTTAAAGTATAGATAGAATAACTTACCTTGTTGTTGTTTGTGTTCCTTGAAACCTTGTGAGCCTAGCACCCCAAGTGTGATGCCTCAAATGCTTCACACAACACCAAATGCTCTTGGAAGAACTTATGAGAGAACACACACTTCTCAAAAACGGCCAAGCCCTCTTGTTTCTTAGTGTGTAGCCAATTTTAGGTGGAGAACATATTTCTTATATAGTGTTGACACATCTAGGGTTAAACCCTAATGTGTCATGACTCTTCATTTCCATGACCCATGGGTTTGTAACTCCCATGGAGCATCCATGGAGCATCCTATGGGTGGAACCCAACTTGATAATCCATGGAGACTCTTAGCCCACTATACAAGATATGGATGATTTACATAATCAACCCATATATTTAATTAGTTATCTTTTGATCACATAATTAATTCTAAATTAATTCTTGATCAAACTAATCAAATAATATTATTAATATATTAGAACTTATAATATATTAATAATCTCCAAGTGTTATTTCTCTCATTTAGTCTATCCAATTGCACGGTGCCATGCAACCCAAATGGACCATGCCGGGTCGGATCAAGTACATACCAGAAATAGTTATGGACTTAGACACCTTATCCAACAGGTGACACTAAAATCACCAACATAAAGCAACTGAACGAATACGAATGCGAGCTTGTTCATGTTGATTCGTTTAAGTTAGTCGAACAAATGAATGTATACAAATGGATAAACGAACGAGTTTTCTTGTTCTTGTTCACTCGTTTATGTTCGTGAACATGCTAAACGAACAAACATAAATGAGCAAAAATAAACAAACATAATTGAACATATATGAACATAAAGCATACTAATATAATCAAATACAATTAAACATATATGAACATAAAAGGAACTTATACAAACGATCATAAAGGAACGTAAACAAACAAAATAAACGAACGTTCAAGAATATAATTGAACGAACGAGACAATTGTTCATGTTCGTTTGCTTAAATAAAGAACGGGAATTTCTGTTTATGCTCATTCATTTATTAAATAAACGAACATAAACGAACTCTCCATCGAACGGTTCACAACCGGTTCGTTGAACGTTCAATTCATTTACAACCATAGTTTAAATCGAATAGATTTTGATCGAAACGATTTAATTCAGTTATCAATTGGATGTTGGATTTTGTTAACAGACCCGATCTAATTCGTTATATACAATTCAACTAAACCGATCTAGTTGGATAATGGATTGGGTCGGTTTTATCAATTAGATATACCATTGGATGATATTATTGGTTGATAATATTGGATATAACATTAGATGATAATATTGGATATTTATCAGATGATAATATTGGATATCCAATTGGATGAATGTTGGATTGGTTCGGTTATCCGTTAGATTTTTCAGGGTTATTCAAGAACCGATCCAGTCCAATTGGATTTTAAAATTTCGAAAATGATCCAATCCAATTGTGTCTGGATATCCAATATATCCAATGTTGGATGATAATGGGATATTTATCAGATGATAATATTGGATATCCAATAGATGGGTAACTTTGTTGTTTGTCCTCAAAAGTATTAAAAGGGTTTGCATATTTTAGGAAGAGGACATTATGATAGAGTCAAAACTCAAAAGTCAAAGCATATTTTGGAATGATCCTACAAATCAAATAATATTCGTATATTCTTGGTTTGGTTTGAAGTTGTTTTGTATAAACGACTAAACGAGCAGGTATGAACATATCAATATATAACATTAAGATATAAAATCAATGTAGGATCCACGTAATGAGAACTATCCAATTTTCTTTGACTGAAAAACAGATGCACTATAATTTCATTAGGTTAATGCATGATCTATAAGTAAGATAAAGAGAAACTTAATACATTGATGATGCAATTAGGATTAATTTAACGTGTTGATTAAAATATTTATAGAAGAAAAAGTGCGTATGTGTCGACAACATATCATTAAAAATGATTAATATTACTCTTTTACTTTAGGAATATATTAAAAATTATAAATCACAATATCTACAACACAATGTGCTTGAACATTAACCGCTACTAATGACTTAATTGATACTACTTTAATAAACAAATTTAAAGTAAGCAGGCTTACTTGTTTAAAAACGCGATACTTTTTTTTATGCATCGTATCTCGTTACCTAAGCGTTTACAATATTAATTTATTTTGCATGGATTTAAGTCTAATTTTATATTTATCTATTATCAAGAGCTATATGATACTTTTCATGATAAATTATGCTCAATAAGTTTTTATAATTTTTTTTATGCATAAGAATCATTAGTTTCCTTATTAAATTATGTATAAAATCAAACGTTATATATATATATATATATATATATATATATATATATATATATATATATATATATATATATATATATTTTTGGTATAAAAGAGGTGTATGTTTCGAATAGTTGGATGGTTGCTCAAGGGTCTAGTTAACCTTGCACCATAAGTAAATAAAACAATTCACTTTATGACCCCAGACAAGCTAAGCTTTACAATCCAGCCCCTCACTTTGAGCATTGTTCATTTTTGCGCCCCCATGAACATTTGTCTGTAAAATACTACATCACCGAAACCAAATCCATTCATACTTCATTCATTCATTCCTATCATGACCCTCGTAACCCTGCTTGTTCTTTTTCTGGTAGAGAAAGTTCCTTAGTTCCTTAGCATTCTTTTTTTTATTTCTGTATATTTGAAGTTGAATCTTCATCCTCTGTTTTTCATCTTCATCTTTAACTTCGATCTTCTTGATTTTTCACGATTATCAATCATCTTTCATAGCCCCTTCAACACTCTGCTTTTAATTTCTATAAATTATCTGTTTCTCACCTTCATTTTCTGAAATTTCACTTGTAATCACAAATTAGGAGCTTCCAGATTAAAAGCTCTGTTATTGTTAATTCTTCAATGGCGACCACTTTTCCAGCGCCACCAGTGAAGAAACCAACCGCCGCCTTTCCTCCAAGAAGGGGAAGAGTGAAAGCTCAGATTTTTGAAGGGGTTACAGAAACAGTAGCTTCTGCAGCCTCGAGAGCTGGAGATTTCTTGGGTTTCATCAAGAAAGAGAACGAGGGCTCTGCCTCTGCACCACCACCCAAAACCACCAAGACTTGTGGTGAAGATGGAAGGACCGTTTAGTCATTTCATAATCTATCTCGTCTATAGTATTTATAAACATTAATGAGAGAGATATCCCTAGTTCTAAAAGGGGTATGATTTCATGAAGTTATTTGTATTTAATCTGTTTTGTCCCTTCAGTTTTTGGAGAAGAGATGGATATTTGATTGTTGTTATTTGTACTTTGCAGATTTATATGTTTCAATGTTTGTATTTTGCTCATTTAGATGTTGTACTTTTGTGTAATTGTTCTATTATAAATAAGTGGGAGTAAAGTTGGTGTTTATTTGTGGCAAATCTTATTGCCATTTTGATGGAGTTGATGTTTTCATTTTGTTTTACCTGATGATCACTAAATTGCGATTGCTTTTAGCTGATCTTTTGCACTACTTCTCTGAGTTTTAATAGTTTTTTGTATAATTTTATTATAAGTTGATTATGATATTTATTAATATACAGTTGTACACATAAAATAATAGCGTACAAAAAGAAAGGAAAAAGACTGAATGTGAAAAAAAAAAATCAAAAGTTCAGTACCTTTATAATCAAGTCAAATCATTTGCAAATCAAATGCCTCGTGACTAAGTCTTACAATCATACTTGATGAGTGATATTGACTTAGTGAATGGATCGACAAATATTTTTTTTTGATAGATTCTATTGACTATGATATATTCATATTCAAACCACTATCAAATGTGACGGTACTTAATAAGTATACATTACATAAGCTTGTGTGACTTTGGGATCCATACACGAGGTAAGTTCACCCTTACAATCACAAGAACCTTCAAAAAAAGACCATTAGTGGTTGAATTGCAACAATGATGTCACTGTTGAATCTCATTTAGTCTCATAACTTCATTTGTAGACTTTGCAATATAATCTAATTTTATTCACTATGGTGTATTACATGGTACTCTTCCAAGTTAATACTTATTTATGACTGTAACCATAATTGTCTTTATTAGTGTGGAATTTAGCATCAATGTAACCTTTACATTGATGCTTTCCATACTAAGATCATATCATTTTTCTTCCTAGGACACTAAGGAATGAACTTGATTTTGGTTCTTTGATTCTTTCCAATTTGATCTGATCCAGCCTGCCATGCTCATGGAATATGAGTCATCAGATCTATTATATATCATGGCATGTTAGACATTACTTATTTCTTCTATCTTAATAGTTGAATTAGGACATTAGCCTTTCTTAATGCCATGCCACATTTTTTAAGCATGAACTCTCATGGATTTCTGCATCTCGATTTTCCTCTATATTTCATGTACATTGGCTAAATCTAATGAATAACCCGGATCTATTTCCATATAAACTTTCATTCAGTACGTGTGTCGCTTCTCCCGTGTGTCTCCAATCAAAACAATTCCCAAGCTAAGACAAGCTTTTGCTAAGTTAGAATATTGTTTCCTATGAGTTGTGTGTTATCCAAATAAATTACAAGGGTGACTACAGTACCCCCATTAGCATCAATACAAATATGGCTCATCTTCGTTTCTCGATATTCAAATTCTTTGAGTTCTTTTATTGAAACAAGAATTCCAATTACTCCCATTAACTTTGACGTACTTATGGTCTACCTTTGTTTCTCGGAATTCAAAATCCTTGAATTCTATCAATAAAACGATGATTCCATTTTGCAAGATGCTATTTCAGTTCCTAAATGAACTTCATATGCATACACATCCTCCACAACCTATCTTAGTTTGAATATGCGTTTTTTCACATCCATATTAGTTATCTTCCTGGAGATACATTAACACATGTAGCTTTAAGCTCAAGTGTTTGATCAACCATGTTTCAAACTTACATGGACTAATTATCGCTCTGATAGTTTATTTTATTTCCTTCTTTTTTATAGTTTATTTCAACATTTTCACCCTTTTTTATTATTATAGCATTGCATATTCTATCTCGTTCCTTGTCTTGGATCATATCGCGTACTTTCTATTTTGCATGAGGTGTTTTGAAGGCTTTTGGAGTCTCGATGCGGTTGCAGTTTAGCTTGGAGATGGGCTTGTTGGGCTTGCAAAGAGTTATTAGGCCTTTCAGATCCATCAAAAAAAATAATTGCGCTTAAAATGTTGGAGACTTGGATGAAGTAAGCTGATGAGGATGGGTCATGGAGTCTTTTTATTGGGCTTGGACTATCCATTTGAAGGTTGAAGATGATTGGTCTATTTTAGATCATGTGAGGTGTGAAGAGGACCAAGGGAATCTTAAGTAGTGAGGTGGAGTAGTGGAGAAAAAGAGACAATAGTTATTCATCACCATTTGTGAGGGTGGGGTCTCACCCGTGCACGTTTGCAAGGGTTCCTACGTAACTACATAATTATGGGTATTTCACCATTTTTATCCCTTTTATTATTATTGCATTACATATTCTATCTTATTCTTTTCTTGGATAGTATCAGGTACTTTCTATTTTGCATGAGGTTTTTTGAAAGCTTTTGGAGTCTTGATGTGCTTGTAGTTTAGCTTGGAGATGGTCTTGGTGGGTTGTGAAGAGTTATTAGGACTTTTGGATCCATCAATGAAAAATCGGGCTTACATTGTTGAAGACTTGGATGAAGTGGGCTTATGAAGATGGGTCATGGAGTCTTGTTATTGGGCATTGACTATCCATTTAAAGCTTGAATATGATTGGTCCATTTTGAATCATGTGAGGTGTGAAAGGGAAAAAGGGAATCTTGAGTAGTGGAGTGGAGCAGTGAAGAAAAATATCCAATAATGTTTCAGTACCATGTGCAAGGACAGGGTCTCACCTGCGCATGTTTGTGAGGGTACCCACGCAACTGCACAATAAGGGGTATTTTGGCTCATCATTTACCTTGGGGGTTAGGTTTGGCAGCAATACTTCAAATTTGACACCATTGGAGCACCTTGTATATTTGATGTTAGAATACTTTTGTGATTGTTGTCTTGTTGCCATGAGTGGATAATCTCTTTATTTTAGTTGAATTAGGCTAAAACCCTTGTATATTTGTGGGTTTTGAAGGATTCATGCTTTATTGTCATTTATCTTATGGTATTGATCCTTAGTTCATAGTTTGTATGTGTGTTTAACACTTTGATCATGAGCTTGGTACTTGAATGAGAAATTTTTGGTTTCTTTCTTGTATTTAGCAATGAATCTTTGAATTTACTTAGAACAAGGGCTTTATGATTGTAAAAACCATCTCTAGCTTATGGATCATGAATCCTTTATGGAATGTTTAAGCATTGGCATCCGCCAGGAATTAAGAATTCCTTCGCTCTTAAGGCTAATCAATTTTCTTGGGTTCAATTGCTTCAAACGAGTCCTTGATTTTGATTAAGAAGGTCTATTGTGGGCTTCCCCAACCTCCATACCACCTTTGAGGAATTTTAGCATATCATGCTTCATGATTTCTATAACCAATTTGGTATGAATGACAAGCTTGCATATTAAATCTATAACAGACTAATTTTTACCACACAAGTTTTCATTTTTAATTCAGTAAAACTACAAGTTTTATAAAAATCCAAGTCATGAAAAATTCCAGGTACATCAATACATTCATCCAAATCAGAGTATCGAAAAGCTAAAAATCAAAAAATCAATAAGTTGGAGTGTACAGTCAAGCCTTTGCCTTCCGACGATCATCTGAAGTACCTGAAACACATTTAATCCACAACTATAACCATAAAGCTTAGTGACTCCTTCCCAAAATATCCATACAAACACATCATAAATAAACAACTATGGGTGATTAGCAACCCTAAGGTTATTCACAAATCTCAATGGGCTAACTAGATGCCCTGTGGATTAACACCATGTTCTAGTGATTATCACCAACCCTGGGGATTCTCAGCAATCCCAAATTATCTGCAATACAGTATAGTTCATACACAACAATAATCAACAATTAAGACCCACCTGGTCACTGACAAATTTACCTAACAAGTAAATGTAGTAAGAAGACTCACCTCACAGGCAGTAACTATATACGATGGATCACACATGAGGTACACATGTAGTATAACCACCTACTCAATAATAAAAGATTTTCCCTTTTAGTCTACACTCTAACACCATATTTGACCAAAAGTCTAGAAAATTCACAGTCAATGGTCCACCGTACTACACCATGCGTATCGGCTTCTGTATGCAGATGTAGAGCCTACAAGGTTACAAACCAACACCAAGCTACACCCTGTGTAGTGGGATTTACGCACCACATAATGCATTTGAATGCCATAAGTTCCATTAAGCATTTTATTCAGACAGTTAGCTCCTCAAACTTCTAAATATGAAACAAAGGGAAAACTTAATGGATAAAGTCTCTGACATTATCTATTTTCATTCCATAAATGAGCAATAAACCATGACTTAAGTCCATGAAATTCACTAATGCTCAAGATCTCATGCATGGGGTGAATGGGAGTGTTCAAGATCTTAACTGTATGGTTCTTTAACCCCCACTAACAACAAGAAATGGTCTTCAAATATTTTAGAGTATAGGATACTCACTAAAACCAAAGTTATGGAACAAAAAGCAAATGAAAAGCATACTAACTAGATCTATCATGAAAGATTACCAAGATGGAAACTTTATACTTTTTGGAGGTGGAAAACAAGATGAAGAATTTGGATCTATAAGGCTTAGACTCTTAGATGTTTCTCCAATGATCTTCTTCTTCAAAGGAGCACACACAAACACTTACAACCTCAAAAATATCTCAAAATGAATAGAGTTTCGAAAGGGTAGTTTTGGAGGATGGATGTTAGTCATAAGAAAGGTATCAAGGGGTTAAGGTCCTTTAAATAGGGCTCAAAAGCCTAAATTTAAGGTTTGTATTCTCGCAACTACGCCATGTGTAACCAATATTATGCCCTGCGTAGTGGTTAAAACCCTCGCATGCAATTCAATGAATTATGGCCTGCATAATTTACAATCTACGCACTATATAGACTTTTATTTCTTAGAAAATTTATAACTTTAAACACATAAGAAAATATACCTGAGAAACGGGTGTTAAAA